GGCAATAAAATCATTATCTCACAGGCTTAGGAGTTGGCTCCTGTAATGGTTTAGCGCCTTCGTCCTGCAAATGAGGCAGTGTTAGAGGAGTGTCATTGTCATGATCTTCATCCACGCTCCGCTTTGCTCGGGTATTTAAGCAGCGCTGAGGCGATAACGTGTTTGTTTGGTGGTTATGGCGGTCGTCGTACTCGTTTCCTGAGCGACCATCGACAGAGCTACGCAGGCTGCTCATCTGTTTTACCCCTGTCTCGTGATGTCTGACACTCCGAGGGCTAGCGGTGGCGGAGGGCATAATACATGACCCTTGAGGAGGACAGGCGGTCGTCTGTGGACCCGTTAGAGAGAAAGACCTTAAGATGAAGTCGAACAAAGTCAACTCAAGTAGAGGACAATGTCAAATCTCTAGTTTGTAGGTCATTTGCGTGAAGCGAGGTGTCAAAATGTTCATAATGAATGAATGAATTGTCTTTTGTGTATCATGTTCTAGTTGGAATTGCAGTCCATCAAATCACCTCCCTTAGAACCTCTAAGGCACGTAAAATGGTTCCGTCTATATGGCTGCTCACGCATGCTTTAAACAGCATCATAATGAAATCCTACTTCAATGTACTTCCGAGTCACGCGTTCTTTCACGATTTCTCTCTCAACCAACGATTTTCCGAGAGTTGTTGGCTGAAAACTATGGCATATCAAGAGCAAATCAAAAGTTTTGCATCCATCAAGAGCATTTGAAAAAGAATTAGTTGTCTTCAAATGGAAGTTAAGGAAACTCGTCCTCATTGGCAAATATGTATGTGTTTAATAAATAAAACGTTGTATAAGACAAAAGTTACGGATTTGGGAGTCGGCTCCTGCACAGCTGGTAAGACTTCAACCTGTAAAAGAGGTCGTTTGGGAGAGAAAAGGTTAATCAAGCAAAGAATTTGGGGTGGAACATGCAGAAATTCAAATTGCAGCCTCACTTGTTTCGAAATCGGCTCTTGACGAACTGCCAAGGTCTCAGTCTGCAAAGGAGGTGTATGAAAGGAGTTGCAGAAGAGGGAACTTGGTGAAAAGATTTGAGGAAAATTTGAACAAGGCAATAAAATCATTATCTCACAGGCTTAGGGGTCTTTGGAGTCGGTCCCTGTGCTGGTTTGGTGTCTTCGCCCTGTCAAAAAAACCACTATGAGTTGCCACGGAAAGAGAAAGGTGCCTTCCCTACATCTTCTACCCAGTTTTAAATGACCTCACGAATAACCCACATCAATGAACTTCTGAGTCACAGATTCTTCCACGATTTCCTTTTTGGTAACTGCTTTCACTAGACTTGGGGGCTGAAACCAGGGGCATATCAGAAACAGTGAAGACATTTTTGCACCCGATTAAATGGATTGGTTGCTTATTCTTCGATCTCATTAGGAAGACAGTAAATGTAGGCTGAACAATTTGACCTCCAATACATATCTATTAAACTCATTCAAATGAAATTAAATCTCTCACAAGTTTGGAAGTCGGTTCCTGGACAGCTGCGACAGCCTTATCCTGGAAAATGAATAATGTATGAAAGTAGTCAGGGTTAACCAACAATTCGCGGAGATTATTTTGAAAGCTAAAATTATTTGAAAGTCTGAAAATTATAATCTTACAAGTTTAGGCGTGGGCTTCTGTGTAGGTGCTGAAGTTTCCATCTGCAAGTTGAACTTGTTGGATAGACAAAACGCAAACGACAGTGTGTTTTATGAGGTTCTATAAATAAATCTAATCTTCAGTCTTACGGGCTTCGGAGTTGGTCCATGCGCTGATTTGATTCCCTCTTCCTGTAAAAAGGAAAAGACTAAATTGTGATGTCAGGGAAAGATGTCTCTGTACAACTCCTCCGACACTTTTCAATGGCAGAACGAAATTCTTACCTTAATAATCTCCTGAGTCACCCTTTTTTCCATGATCTCCTTCTCAACAACCGATTGCCCCAGAGTTTGCGGCTGAAGCGTGTGCCATATCAAAAGCAGTCGAAACAAATTCACATCCGCTTAGGGAGGGTGCATATCAAAGAGCCACATCCACTTGAGCGAATGTTGGCTCATGTATGTAGAGCGAAACGTGTTAGAAAAAGATTTATTATCTCACAGGTCCCGGAGTTGGCATCTCCACAGCTGGGACAGTCTCGCCCTGCAAAGTAGGTGATGTTGGGAGGAAGTTCAATGTCACTTGGACATTCAGGGAGTATATGGAGAAAATAAACAAAATCAAGATCCTACAGGTTTGGGAATGGGCTTTCTCAGAATTGCTTCAGCTTCTTCCTGCAATCAAGATATTCAGTAGAAACCCGGCTTCAGGTAGAATGAGCTCGAAGAAGTTTTAATATGAAAAACAAATTTCTGATCTCACAGGCTTTGTAAATGGTTGCTGTACTGCTTTGGTGCTCTGGTCCTTCAAACAGAATTTTGTGAGGAGGGTCAGTCACAGAAAGTAATTTTGTCTACATCTATCCTACACAATTCGAAACAGTGTTATCATAAAAAGCCTACTTCCATAGACTTTCTTGTCATGTGTTCTTCTGCGATTTTCGTTTCCACACATGATTGTCCTAGAGTTTGTTGCTGAAAAAAGCGACATGTCAAGAAATGCCGGTAGAACTTTGCACCTATTTGGAGGGCTTAATTGTAGATTATATTTGTCAGCAAGTTGACTTTTCACATATGTCCTTTGGAACTGAGAAAGTCAGCGAGGATCGGCTTTCACCTGTAAAATTTCTCCCGGGAGATTTAGCTATTCTTGCCCAACCAGTACACACTACACAAATAGAACGTGTTTTCTATGGCGAGAGCGGCTTTTATCGAAGACTAATAAACTCATGAAAGAAATCTGTCAAAGGAGCCTAGTCTTCCATGTCGTTGTAGGCACAGTCAACGATAGTTTTGGGTAAACCAGATGGAAAATAGCGCGCTGAAGGCGAAGAAACTGTGTGAATCGGCGTTTTTAAAGTGAAAAAAGGCTTCGAAGAATCGTTTAAAAGGGGGCTGGACGAGAATGAGACCATAAATGGAGAAGGGTGGGGCATTTGGACGAGCTATACAATATGTTTCATTGCGTACGTGTGGGTCTTGAGCTGACTACGGTAAGTTTCATTCACTTGTAAGCACAAGTTAACAAAAAACCTTAGTAACAGCAAAAATAGCTCACTTTTTTTAGCCTCTGTGGTACATAGTTAACCCTTTGACGGCAGCGCGCATTTTTGTGTGTCTGGCGCGCGGGACAGACGCATTTCGAAGCTTTCCACTTCCGCGGCTCACCATTGAGCCGCGCTGTCCCACGGTTCATACATTTTCAAGTGTGAACATTTTTTGCTTTTTTTTTCAAGCGTTTTTTCATGATTTAGTTTGAAATATGGGCAAGTCAGGTAATTATGAGTTTTAACTCTAGCTTAGTCTGGTTTTATGCATAATATAGCTTAGGAGTCGAAATAGATCAGCCTGCAGTGGACGATTTGGAGGCTGGTTTCCAAAGATTACTTGTCGTACCCGACGAAAATCTAACCGACAAATAAAACTGTTTAAGCTATGTTCCGAAGGTGCTACACATGGGAGACTAAGATTCACTTAAGCTTTAGATTTAAGATTTACTTCGATAGACAGCCCACAGCAAGGATTCAGCAGCTGTACTTGCTATGGTCATGACTAATGGACATACTTTTGAATCAAGGAATGCATCTCTATACCGATAACTAGAGAATGACTTGTTGACTAGAATGAGAATAGAATGACTTACATAGCACCCACTTGTCCGACACTCGAAAAGGCGAAACGGAATACTGATAAAAGTTGAGGATAGGTCAGAAGGTGGGCAAGTTCCCGGAAAATTTGTTACGAGCGACTAACTCGAGCTTATGGAAGTGTTTACGCCCCCATAAGACGAGTCAATTCTGGAGGATGTGAAAGTCATCTTTACATTTATTATATTGTTCTAGAAAAATGCATAAAAGGCTAATTGCCAAGGAAAGAATTGAATTTATTGGCAGTTTTATGGAATTAGCAACGTTTTGCTTAGCCCCTTTGTGTATGGTGTTATTTGGCGATCGCAAACCCTTCAAATACAAAAATCTCCAAGTAAAACTAATAATTGAGGAAAACAACCAATGAGAAGGGTGCGGCCCACCGTTGAGCCGCGCTGTCGTCAAAGGGTTAAATAAGGGATGGCAGCAGCAAAAAGAATAATAGAGAATAAAGCAATAGCAGAAAAACATCGCTTCAATACTCGGCGATCAGCCGATCGTGTGTGGGTTCTAGAACGAATCTGTATCGCCTCGACACTCGTCTGACGTGACATCGATCGAGGGGCGCGATGCGGTACCGAGGCTCCCACTATGCCCTAGCTGTTGACTTTTGGAACTCGACAGCGTCCTTCCTGTTACCCTTGAGGGCCCCTGGGTATCCCTAGGGGAGAACTCAGAAACCATTTTTTTCGCAAACTGTGCCTTTAAGTGCTATTCGAGCGGCGACCCTTGAACAACACTGCAGTGGAAGAACCTTATATTCTACAAGAGCTCAAAGTGAATAGCGAGATGAAACCAAGGGATACGAAGTAAAATGATTTTGAAATGAAAAAGTCCGCAATATCGTCAAATGTGTGAAGGATGCATACAAACATTGTCTGGAGTCTGATTCCTGGTTTTCTCATGTTTACAAAAATTGTATGAATCAGGCAAGGTGGCTATCGGAGGGGCAAATCACAGGGAATTAGATTCGCGGAGGTCCAAAGTCGTCAAGTGGAGAGGTTTGTCACTAACAAGGGAAGGATAATTGGTCGCAGTGGCCATTCAAGATGAGATATATACCCCCGTAGGTGGTTTCGAACGCTGATCTCAAATCTGTGTTCCAAATCTACGAAACGTTTCTGGGAACAAAGTTACGGGACCGG